AACTACTGGAGTGCTTTTAAAGTGAATTAATTTATCCACTGTCTAGTCACATCCCACTTTTCAGGAAGACAGCTTTTCTGTAAAGTATGGTATATGTATATCTCAATAGATACAGAATAAGCTGTTCAAGGGTGTAAGTTCCTTGAAGGTAGGAATTGGTTTTGTCTTTGTATCCCCCCCCCTCCCCTTCCCATTCCTAGCCTTGAAGAAGGAAGGAAGGAAGGAAGGAAGGAAGGAAGGAAGGAAGGAAGGAAGGAAGGAAGGAAGGAAGGAAGGAAGGAAGGAAGGAAGGAAGGAAGGAGGAAGGAGGAAGAGGGAGGGAGGGAGGAGGAGGGAGAGAGAGGAGAGAGAGAGAGAGAGAGAGAGAGAGAGAGAGAGAGAGAGAAGGAAGGAAGGAAGGAAGGAAGGAAGGAAGGAAGGAAGGAAGGAAGGAAGGAAGGAAGGAAGGGAGGGAGGGAGGGAGGGAGGAGGAAGGACAAGAGAGGGAGGGAGGGGAGTAAAAAAGGCATTTATTAAATGTTTATTATGTGCCAAGTACTTTGCTAAGCACTGGGAATGAAAAAACAAAAGCAGAGATAGGCCTTTCCCTCAAGGCCCTTGAAATATGTAGGTCTCCAAGGGTAGTGAATCTGCCCCCTCTACTCCCACCCCAGCCCTTTGCAGTGAATAAGATTCTTCCATATATTATAGAATAAAGCCTCCCCCTCTTCACTCCTTGTCTACATAAGTAGTCATGTCACCAATAACTGCTTTAAATGCTGCCTTATCAAATGTAGCTGGAGGTGGGTTTGCACGCAGTTTCTCAAAAGTCTGTGCACGAGACTACTATTCATCTTCTAATTACGTATCTACAACCCACTGGTGAACAGTCAAAAGCAATCTACTCTCCCTGTAATAGACAGAAACATTCTTCAATATAAAAAACAAATGTGTCTGATTTGTATTCCTACTTCTCTTCTCAATATCTAGTTCCAGCCCAATCTAACAGTTGCAATTATCAGGAAATTTCACCAGCGCAGAATGAGACAGGAGGGGGACAAACTATAATTGGGAGCTGCATTTCACTTTCTAAATCACAATTTGTTTTAACTGCATGATTGCTTGAGAGAGGAAAGAGCAAAAAGTTAACTCGTTAAAGAAAAAATGTACCCAAAAGACTTGAAAGTACCCTTTTAAAAATTTTTTTGTTTCATACCCTCACTCTTAAATGTCAGCCCAGGGAGCCCACAAAAGGAAGGAAGAGTCAAATGATTAGATGAGAGCCCAGGGAAGGAGGGAGCTCTAATGTCTAGACTCTGGGTAGTTGTCTTCTCAGCCAACGGCAATCCATTGTCTTCCTGGGGAAAGTCACAGCCCGGCTGCTCTCTTTCTAACTGCAGTGTCTCTCTCTGTCCATCTGGGTTGCCAGTTACCATGAGATTTAATCAATTAAGGAACACAGAGAACTCACAGTGATGGAGTCTCTAGAGAGCTAGAATGTCCTCCAGAGTCTCAGAACCACAAACTTGGAAACACCATGAAAGCCTTCCTCTGTGAACACTATGCCTCCAACTCTTCCAGTTAGAGGAGAAGTAGACTGGTTGAACGGGTGGTCATTGGCCAGGAAATCCATCCATGCCATCTACTGGTTATATATAGCAGTGAAGTCACAGCATTGTAGTCCCTCATTCTCTTTATTGTAAAAATGTGTAGAGCAATAGGATGGTGGTGAAGAGTAAAATTAGTAGGTGAACTCAAAATAAAAAATTAGTAGGTGGACCAGAGACAACTAGGTATAAGTGGAAAGAGCACTGAATGCAGAGTCAGAAAGTTTAGGTTTAAGCCTGCCTTTGTCACTTATGAAAGTGATTCTGACTAAGCAACTTAACCTCACTGGCTATAGTTTTCTCAACTGTAAAATGAGGGGGGTTGAACTGGATGTCACCTAAAGTTCCTTGGAATCATAAATTTGTGATTTTATGATCACAAGTGGCTTTCGAAGTCCCTCCCAACTCTAGATTCCTATCTTGTGTAGAAGCTATTAAGCATTCTACAGGGGCAGCTAGGTAGAACAAGGGATAGAGGGTTGGGCTTGGAGTCAGAAAGACTCATCAAATCTGGCCTCAGGTATTTATTAGCTGTGTGACCCTAGGCAAGTCACTTAACCCTTTGCCTTATTTCCTCATCTGTAAAATGGGCTGCAGAAGGAAATAGCAAATCACTCCAGTATCTCTGCCAAGAAAAGCCTAAATGGGGTCATGCACAGTTGGACATGACTGAAACAGCTAAACTACAACAAAAGCCTCCTGTAAAATGGGAATAACAATTTGCTTTCAATCCAACAAATGTTTATTAAGTGCCTACTATGGGCAAAGCACTGTAGATAAAAAAAAAATTAAGTAAGGCATGGACCACACATTCAAGGAACTTATAATGGGAGGGGGGATAAAATTTGCACCTAAATAACTGGAAGAAAGAAAGATATAACATAGTAAGTACAAAGCAGAGATAAAAAGTGCTCTGAAAAATTTGAGAGGTCACTTTGACCTCTGAGAAATTGAGGAGGTAGCATTTGAGTTGGACTTTGGAGAAAGAATCATGATTATTGAATTAGAAATAGAAGAGAAGATAGAGGTCATCTAGTTCCATGCCCTCTCTTTACAAAGGAGACAGCCCCTGAGAGCTAGTGATTTGTTCAAGATTAAATAGGTAATAAGGTGGTGGGGGAAGGGAATAAGCATTTATATAGCACCTACTATGTGCCAGGTAATATGCTATAAGTACAAATATTATTTCATTTGATCCTCACAATAACCCTGGAAGATACATGTTGTTATTATCCCTATTTTACAGTTGAGGAAACTCTGACAAACAGAAATTAAGGAACTTGCCCGGGGTCACACAACTACTAAGTGTCTAAGGCCAGATTTGAACTCGGGTCTTCCTGACTTCACATCCAGCACTCCTTATTTGCCTAGGTAATAAGCAGCTGAGCCAGGATCTGAATCCAGGTAGTCTGATTCCAAATCCACTACCCTCTCCAATGTGTACCATGCTGCCTCTGAAGGGAAATGAAACAGGCAGAGTTGGGGACAGCAGGATTTCAGGACACAAGGGTCCCTTGAGGCTGAGCAAAGGGGAGGATGGTCACAGGAAGAGGTGGGGGTGCAGATCTATTTGACTCAAATCAACTGCTTCAGTTGAGTTTATCTCCAACACACAAATTGTGTAATAAATGATTAAGTACAAATGTTGATGACTGTGAGCACAAATGAAAGTGAATAGACGCTTTTCTACTTGGGAATATGAATTGTCAGACCAAAGAGTTAGAAGATGATAAAATTCATATTTTGGTACTTCCACAAACTATGATTTAATTAAGTTGGAGGGTCTGTCTACCAACCTAGATCTAAATTCCTTCAGGACTTAGTAAAAATTGTTTGTTACCATGACCAAAAAATGTATCCTCCTGTGGAAAATGGGGTGATGAGCAGGGCTCTTAGGGGAGAAAATGTAGAGAGTACAAAAGGGCCGTCTAGGGTGCAGGTTTTCCCCCAATTCCAACCCCTCTTTCATGTTTCACCTCCTGCAGGGGCATGCTTCCAGGAAATTTAGAAGGAATAGGTAATATTGGCCTAAGCTTCCTCCATGCCTGGTCCAGTGCCCCACAATGGGGTTAGTGGCCTTACCTCAGGGTGTACGTAACTTCCTTCTCCCAGTGGCTAAACCTCCAAACCAGTTCCTCCACTACCCCTTGTCAGCCAGTCCTTTATCACTGTAGAAATCTCTCAGTGTCCCAGATGCTCTTCTTCTTCTTCCCTCAATAGATCCATCCAACGCTTGTCCCCAGCATAAAAATGGCTGTTACGGCCCTAGTAATAAGATTCTCCAACATTAGATAGACTGATCATAGAATCACAGATTAAGATCAGGAAAGCATCTATCCAGTCCCAACCTTTCCTATCATTGATGAGGTTTTGAGGTTCAGTGTAATTAAGCTTGTCCAAGGTCACACAGCTTGTTAACTGAAGAGGATTTAACCCCATGTCCTCTGACCACAAAGCTCATCATTCCATTTTACTATGCTGTTCTTTGCATTAGTGATTATATAGTCTATCACTAGGCCTGTACTTGCAGCCTTCCCACCTCGGTAGAGTAGATAATTCTTCTCTCATACTTTTTAAGAACCCAAGGTCGCCTCCACCCCACCATGTTCAGTCATTTTTGGTCGTGTCTGACTCTTCATCACCCCATTTGGGATTCTCTTGGCAAAGATGCTGGAATGGTTTGCCATTTCCTTCTGCAGCTCATTTTACAGATGAGGAAACTGAGGCAAACAAGGTTAAGTGACTTGCCCAGGGTCACAGAGCTAGTAAGTGTCTAAGGCCAAATTTGAACTCAGGTCTTCCTGACTCCAGGCCCAGCATTCTATCCAATGTACCACCTCCAAAAAGTCATGATCCTGTTTGATAATGAATTTTCTTATGTTGTCCTTCTCCATGTCCACACGGAGGATGTAGGATCTTTGTATTGCTATGACCTTTAAAAATGATTTTTAGCACTAGAATAAGGATACGGATTAGGCCTATGATTTCTCTGACATAGGGTTCTCCTAGATGAGGAAACAAACCTATGGTCCCTAGGGGTTGGCAAACTAGGTACCTAGGGGTCAAATCTGGTCAGCTGCCTACTTTTGTGCCATGGGCTAGTGAAATGAGAATATTTTTTACATCTTTAAGTAAAGTTTTATCATATTTAAAAATGCAAAAGCCATTCTTAGTTCACTGACCCTTACAAAAGCAAATGAGCCATATTTGGCCCACCCTGGCTAGAGCACTGAGAAATTAAATTACTTGCCGAGGCTAGCTTTGACTCAGGTCTTGCCCAAGTCTTTCTGACTCTGAGGCCAAGTCCCTATCCCTTACCCCACACTTCCTCTCTTTTGGAGCTACTTAGATGTGGATGACCTTATGGCCAAAGGCCCTAGTCTAGATTTCATCTTCTTTATTTTCTGCTTCTAGGTGAACAAGAGCCAGCGGTCAGCAGTGATTCAGATATCTCGTTGATCATGGCAATGGAAGTTGGACTCTCTGATGTGGAGCTTTCCACTGACCAAGACTGTGAAGAGGTGAAATCCTGAAACATTGAGCAAAGACGAAGGGGATGGTTGGGCTCCAGGGGGAGGGGGGAGGGGCGAGCTCCAGGCCTCACTACAGTCATACACCTCCAGACCACCACCACAGCTTCAGTGTGCTCCATTCCCAGGGGGTCCACGAAAAGCAATACATAGAGTTGCATCAACCTGGACGCAGTTTCAGCATCTCTCCATCAGTCCACGATGTTGGCAGCTTGGAAGTCGAAAGCGGTTTTATTTTCCACCACTCCCAACGTGCTCAAGGACACGGGCTTCAGCGGCTCAGAAAACAGGGACTGAAAGGACAGCCTCGAGAGTGTTTCCTACTTTCATTTCACCTTCTTATCCCTCCACCCCACCCCCGGGCAACTTTTGTTTGGGGGTGGTTGGTAGTGTTGCTGGCATTCTATTCGGTGTTGTTGTTGTTTTTAAGGATATCTGTAATTTGCTTGACATCTGCACCACTTTGTCTCCCTTTGGCTCCCTTCATCTTATTCCTCCCACATTCTTGTGGGGAAGCAACCAGTGCCTGCTCTGATCCATTTGTAATCCATCTTTCAGATTTCCGACCTTGACATTTCATCATGAAGTATGCATGGGTCTGAGAAGGACTGGTGCCCCAGCCCCTCATAACCATCTAAACCAGCTTTCATTACGATTTTCAGTCCTCCCAAGTGAGTCCTGCAAATCACATCTGCCAGAGGCCCCCTCCCCCTACTCACCTGACTCCAAGTCCTAAATCCCCCAGGGCTAGGGCCTCATCATCTGAAGCTACATTGTCCTGGCTTCCACTTGCCAAGTGCTCTTAAAGGCACATGTCACATGAAAGGGAGACTTCTTACAAGTCTGGAACTGCCTCCAGTTGTATTACTAGCATTCCATGATTTTGAAGGGCTGGTAGCTGGGGACTCATGAGGAATTGTACAGCTAAGAACTGTGCTAGCTTTCATCTTCAAGCCAAAACCCTTGTGCATTGGTTCCTGTAAGAATATGAATCCATATTGGGTCAAAGGTGAGCTGGGCTTGGTAGGTTAGGAAAATTGAGTAGTGAAAGGCCATGGCAGAGTTGACTATTTCAGAGCCCCTACACATAGCAAAGACAACAGTAGGAGCAGTGTCAGTCCCAACACTTGATGGTTACACCTGACCCTGGCCCATATGGAAGGATTTAGGGGACTCTTTAGTGAAACATTTGCCACAATTCCCTGAGCACAGCCTTTTGCCAGGTGAAGTGTAATCCTTCTAAATCATTTTAAACATAGAGGAACAGCATGGAACTTGGCTAAATCAAGTTTATCTTAGCTGTGAGAGGCCAAGCAAAGGAAAAATGAAGAGGCACTGAGTATATGTGAAAGCCTACCAGGGTTTTTAAATGAGTTTTTGTTTTCACCTCTTTTTTTTTTCTCCCCCTATCTTTGACAGAGATAAGCTATTTTTTTATAGCATGCAATTGTGTATTACGTTTGAACTGTCCAAGTGCAGAGAAGACTTTCAACTTGACTTGGTCAATGTCTCTTGCTGATGATCACTGCAGACCCTTGCCCACTGTGGGAAGCCCCCTCCATCCATGATGGCACCTGGGTTGAAAATTGAGCATGAATCCCCCTCACATTCCCCTGTATTCTGAGGAGGATCATTTTACCCCACTTCAAAAACCCATTCAACAAACAGATGTGGATTTTGCTATCAAGATATGCTGCTTGCCAAAACATGGAACAGAGTTCAGGGAGACCACTGCCCATTGTTATCTGTTATTTAGAAGGTCTCCTTCTGGGCAGGTTTGCAGATTGCCAAAAAGGTAAGGAAGTGTTTTCTGCCTACAGGAACTTCTAACTTATCTAGGACTCAAACTATTCCTCTGCAGAGATGAGATCTTTGAAGATGGTCTGGCCATTCTTTACAAGAGGGAGCCTTGTTCACAGCTCTGACCAGTGATATGGAGCTGAAGTTGGAGCTTGGAGAGGCACCATGATTTGGGGTGGAGGATGAAAAGAGCCATTCTCTCCATAACCACAGCCTGTTTCAGGCTTGAGAGCTAATGTGTTGCAGATAGAGTCCTTGAATGATCAGGACAATAGCCCTAAATCTGGGCAACGTGAAGATATGCTGTTCTATACTGTTTCCAATGATTTCTAAAGTACTGAGTGACTCGAGATCCTTGGATGAAAGGTATTACAGGCAAACATTGATTATCCATCTGTACATTATCCATAGAAGATTCTTAGTCCCAGATGGGTTTCCTCTTTTCTACTCAACATATGGCTGCATCACCTTCCTCTCCATCAATCACTCTGGGCTCAGAAGATGAAAAAATCATAATACATTCCAAAGCCAGATTTTTAAAATGACTTTTGAATTGAATTATGCTTCTAGATTATCAGCATCATTGCACCCCTATAGTAGTAAAAATTAGCAAGAGTGATATATATATACGAAATAATAATCATAACTATTGCCCAAGATCACCTTGCAAGATTTCCTTTATATGAGTTTCATGTTCCTCATCTGTAAAATGAGAGGGTTGAGCTAGATGATCTCTAAAGTTTCTTCTCTAAAGCTATGGTCCTCTGATCCTACCTCTGTGATCTTGGGCAAGCCACTCTTAGGGCCTCAGTTTCCCCCTCTGAGAAATGGGTAGGTTAGACTAAATGATTGATCTTGTGATTTCCAGCTAAATCATATGGTTTGGGGCACAAAGACAGGAACCCATCAAGCAGTGGGTAGCACCCTGCAGTTTCTACTGTTATCATAGAGCTCTATGCTTCATAAAACACCACTACATTTATAGTCAAAGCTCATTTATTAAGCACCAGGGATTCCATATGAAGGACTGTGTTGGGGGAAATCCAAAGGTAATTAAGACATGACCTCAACACTTCATATCAACAAAGGCCTCAGATTTTGCAGAAGTTATCTATTTATCTGAGCTGTAACTAGGAATTGTTTCACCTAGGCCAAAAATAATTGAGCCTAAAGAGAGAACAGTCAGTACAGAAGACAGAAGTACAGAAGACAGTCTAGATATTTGTGCCCTGGGGCAAAGCCCCATTCACTGTATCCTCATTTGGGCTCTGCTCCTTACTGAAGATCAGTTTGAGGATTAGTCACTAATGTGACTCAGTTGGATAATGACAGGCAGGAACCCATGAGGATTCTAGATCTCTACTTGTGCCTCCCCAATCTAGTTTAGCCATCATCTCCTCTTCTTCCTCAACTACAATATAATTCGACCCTACAGATAATGCTCAAACTAGTGAACTTTGGTTTCAAGGTGTATGGATGCTAATATGGTCATTAAGTGTAGGAATTCTCGGTCAGTGCAGGGCTTTTATACGCCTGGGGAAAACAAATCTTCCAGGTGTGTGAATTGTCCAGCTCAATAGATCAAAAAGTTGCTTCTTTCATCAAACCAAAATTTTCCTCCTTCAAACTTTCCCTTACTGGGTTTTGTTTTGTTTTGTTTTGTTGAGGCAATTGAGATTAAGTGACTTGCCCAGGGTCACACAGCTAGTCAGTGTCTGAGGCTAGATTTGAACTCAGGTCTTTCTGACTGCAGGACTGGTGTTCTATTCACTGGGCCACCTAGCTGTCCCTCCACTATTCTTCTAAGAACCAGCCTCTGAGGCCAAACACAACAAACCATATCCTTTTCCACAGGATGGTCCATCAAATACTTGAAGGCAACTATTAAGTCTTCATTTCTCCAGGCTTAACTTCCCTATTTCCTTCAACCAGTCACCATATGGCATGGAACTGAGATTCTTCTCCGTTCTCATTCCCTTCTATTGGACATTCTCTAGTTTGTCAATATCTATCCTAAAATGTGGCTTTTCCTTCTGGGAAAAATTTGGAGGCTCCTATTATTATCATACTCACATTCTTCTTGGATGTGTCCTAAAGCTTGATTCTCAGTAAAAGTTTAGCTCCTAGATAGGTAAGAGTTTTGAGAAAGATGAATGAATCAAAAGTGGAAAGGACATTCATGTCCATGGATTTACATCTAACAAGATGTGCCCCAATAGCATTTCTGGACAAAACAAGCCAGACTTTGATTGGATTCATGATTTCCAATCCCAAAGTGTCAAATGGCCATTTCAGGTATGGCTCTCAGGAGTCCTTCTCACCTCCTTCTCCACCCAGGGACGGTAAGGCATTTACACCTGAGGCATCTTCCCATTGCATCCTCATTTTCTCTCTTGGAGCTTGGGAATCATTGAAGGTTAGACTGGAAGCTTAATGATCAGCCATCTTGGTCCAGTCACCTCACCCTCACTTCTCATTCTTTCCTCCTGTTTTCTGTTTCTCCATTTTCCCTTCCCTCCTTTCCCTGCTTTCTTTCTCTTCCAGATCTCTTCCATAGGTCAACCAGTGAAACTCAAGCACCACTCAAGATTAAAGAAGTCAGTGGCCCCTAAATTGTCATTTTGTTTTATTGTTCTCCACATGTAACAGTATCTAGATTTGAGCTTCTAACAAGAAAAATCATTTGCTATAAAGCAAATGGGAAGTACAATTTCACATAGTGAGTTCCCCATTTCTGTAGCTACCCAGACTGTCAAGGGTATCATAGGGAGCATCCATACATTGTAAAGGGAGTTGAATTCAGTCATATAATTCAGATTTCGAAGAGACCTTTGAGATCATTCAATGAGCCTGAGTTCCCTTCCAGCTCTGACAGCCTGTGCTCATAACCCAACTTTCTTATTTTCACTCTCTCTTCATTTCACCAGTCTTGTCCCAAACCACCAGTAGCTCTTGTTCCTCTCAGACTTTCTTGCCACTAACTGCCCCCTTGATAATAACACATCCATCCTGCAGTTTAATTCACTCTTTTGCCACTCCTGTCACTACTATTCCAACTCCTCCCCTTTCCCCTCCCCACACCATCTTCCCAAAGAGCTCTGGGGACAGGAGAATCCATTCGCACTATTCACTCAGAGAATGATACCACCATAAATAAAGACCTAGTAGGGACTTCAGAGGTCATCTAATCCAATCCCTTCATTTTACAATTAAGGAAACTTAATTGTAGCCCAGCTCAGTGAAATTACTTGCACAAAATCAAATGATTTATAAATGTCAGTCACAGTATCTGAACCCAGCTCCTCTGAGTCCAAAGCTAACATTATTTTTTTATGTGAGGCAATTGGGGTTAAGTGACTTGCCTAGAGTCACACAGCTACTGAGGCCAGATTTGAACTCAGGTTCTCACTCCAGGGCTGGTGCTCTGGCCACTGCACTGCCTAGCTGCCCCAAAAGCTAACATTTTTATCAGGCTATCTCTCATTTTAACTCTTCTCATTATTTCACTACAAATAGATTGTGGGGTGATTAGGGATGTTTCAGAAATGTGACTGACTGTTTAAATGGAGAAAGAGGATGATGGAAATGGTCATCTCTACTTGGTCGAGCTGGTGGCATCCGGGGTGTAGCATAGCCACTTAGCAAATGTTGGCTAGCTAACACTGAGTGCCTTGAATAATAGTGGTTAAAGGAGGTTGGCAAAAAAATTTAAAAAAAACAACAACTTGTGATTGGTGACACAGTGAGGGGAGAGGTAAGATTACAGGATCTTGAAATGAGCAGGCAGAGTGAGAAGACAATGAATATGAAGGCAAGAGGATCTGGGTTTGAATACCACAGGCTCTACCGCTAACTGCCAGGGCAGTCTTGGACAGGTTGCTTCCCCTCTCAATACCTCAGTTTCCTCATCTATTATGAAAAGGGGGGATTGGGCTAGATTGTGTCTAAATTTCCCTCTAGCTCTAAATCTAGCTCTAAACCTCTGGAAGCTACTGTGGTCATCAGGACTAGAATTTCAGTTCTTCATTGAATGGACTTATTTTTGAGGGACATGATTACAGCCCATGACAATGGATAGCAGAGAAAGAGAAGAGGCTGATTCTCAGTAAACAATGATTAAGTTGACATCTTTACTTAGTCCCTCTCCCTCAGCCTTCCTTCCTCTCCACCTAACAACCCAAGGCTGTGATAAAAGCAGGCCTTATTTTAAAAGCCCATGGATCAATAACCAGCCTCTTCCACTTCGATCCTTTTAATGGAACTGAATTATAATCCCCGGAATGGGTGGTAAGGGATCCAGATCCTGTAAGGGGCCATTAATAACCAGACTTCAGTTACCATCTGCCCAATGAAAGCTCTCAAGTTGTAATACTTATTCTACAAGGAAAAAGCCAAGGTCAAGCCCATCTCTTTGCCCTGCTTCCAAAGTGAATCTGGCTCATGTGCTCTGTGATCAAGAGGCTCTTTCAGGAAAACCTGTGATCAAAGCTCTTGAATCTGTCGGCACTGAGACGACACCTAAGGAACAACCATTCACTTCATATTTATTGAGAATGAGAAGACAAGAATGCTCTTCTTAGGAGGGTAAGACATGACCTCACCACTGTCATGGGGAAAGAAAAGATATGGAAAATCCCTCTCAGCCTCTGTCAGGCTGAATCTCTTTTGGCCTCCACATCCTAGATAGCCTATTCCTGTGACA